AGGATTTGTATAGAATAAAATGTGTATATGAGATTATATATTTATGCTTATTCTTATGAAGTTGACAACAACATGTCAAAAACATAACTTTGCCAGTTACATTGATGTAAAGTTGTTTTTTGAACTGTATACTTGAATAATTATTCGTTTGTCACAATAGTCGGAGATTTATCAGAAACTAAGATTCACAACATAATAATTAGTAATAAACTTCAATTTATTCGGTATGAAGACACAAGACACACACAAATATTGCTCTCATCTGCCAGAATCACCGGGTCAGTAATGGTGAGAATAGACGCAAAGTATTGGAGGATGATGGTAAATCAGTTGATGGCGTTGTGAATCTTAATCGACTGAGATGATTGGGCCACGTGTTACGTATGCCTGAACACCAACCAAAACGTAGTATCAGCGCTTGAAGTCACTAGCTACTAGTCATAGCCATTTTGGTAGGTGCAAAGTACTTGGTTGCGGTCAGCGTGACTATCATAATCAAATGGTTGGAGACTCTGTGTGAAATAGCTCAGAATCGACCACAATGGCATCGGTGTATACACTCTTTATCTTTCTTTAATCTATGAGATTAAAATCACTTCACATCTTTCTTTCTATGAACTAATTGTTTCTTCCTATACTATGTTCTTACATGCAGTCTTTGTTTTACATATTAGCACCACTGAATTAACTACTTCTATGAATTCGGTGTTAATCTTGTTGTGCAAATATTGTGTGACAATTTCGACCGATGCATATATGTGTCTCGTCCTACATTGTAGCTCACTGACTGAAGACACGATATACAATCGTGAGCTAATAACGCTATCTTTGTGATCGAACTAAAAATATCAATCCACTACCTCCAACCACCATCTAATCTCAACATAGTGCACGCAGTGTCGAGTCACCTAGACTGGTGCCTACATTGCATTATGGTCGATAACATTCGATCTGCACTAATAATAAGGACTTGACACACATGACAATGATCACCATACAGTGATCAATCAATTGTGATAACTATATAGTTTATATCAGGCAAATCTTGTTAAGAATTAGAAATCACATAGATATACATGTTTCAGTAACAAAATAGTACTTCATAAAGTGAATTACCTTATGTATATTTTAAAAGAAATGATAGAATAACATATAAATATGATTAGAAATAGAATATAAATTGTGTATAAATTATGTGATATGTAAACTGACTACTTAAATAAACAATAAATAAAAAGGAGTAAGAAAAAAGAAAAACAAAAAGGAGAAAACAATGACGTATACATCATTTTTGTTAATTGTTTGTTTTAATTTATTATTATTCATATAATGTATTCAAAAATATATAAACATAAACTCTTCTTCCTTTTTATATGTATACAGTTTAATGTTTACATGTATCCTAGTAGACTCAAATAGATGGGGGCTTGTTCACATTTAACTTGTCTAAAACAATCATTTGTTTTGTATAGTCAGATTAGCTTAAAACGAAAATGTATATATCGTTCCAATTTAACCTTTATTCTGAATTAGATTATTCCAATGATCGTATAATCTGTTGATCAAATCTCAAAAAAGACAATCTTCTTTTCAACTTGAGCATAATTTATATCATTTGTATTAGTTTCTCTATACATAATGAGGTATATTTATGAGAAAATAAAACCAATGTGACAACATTTCGATAAGATTATCACTTTATTAGTTTAATCTTTATGAACATAAATAAGCTATTGAACTTCAATTAAAGTTTACTTCTTACAAATGTTTATGGTTGCTATTCAACACACCAAAAAAAAATATTTTGATTAAGATATTACTCAAATAATGTTACTTATTATTAGAATTTATTAAAATTAAAGTAGTGGATGTGTCGTTCAATTTCATGGATTAGTTGAAGTTAGATATTAACACTGTTCGATGACCGTTGACTCAATGGTCTAATGATTAAATGCTCGCGTATGACACCGATAGGTCCTGAGTTCGATTCATGCAAGGTGGACTCGTGGATGCGCACTACTAAGGAGTCCTATAATAGGACGAAACGGTCGTCCAGTGCTTCCAGGTTTCCAGCGGTGGTCTAACATTAATTGGTTCATGATCTCAATCAATAACTTAATAATCTCCTCAACCTCTATACTGATATATACCAATATAGATAAGTAATTGTACACTAATTTTTACCAATAAAGATAAATAAATTATTCATTAAGATATATCATGTTAATAAATAATAATTTATTACTAAAAAAATACTTTCATTCTATATATATAAAACATGTTCCCTTTGTTTTATTAATTAACCTTTCCTAATTCATCTTAATTGTGTACATATCTCTATACTTTATGTTGTTGATGAGTAAATAACGAAGAACTTTCTAGAATATGAATTCTCTCTCAAAAAAAATGATAAAAACTAAAGAAAAAGCAGTAAATAAAAATAAAAAAAGAAGATGAAAACTAGAAAAAAAAGATCGATTCGATCATTATTATTTTTTTTCCGTAAACAAACGAAATATTAAAAAAAACTAAGAAGATATTTCCTTTTTTCTAAAAAAATTCATATTTCTCTCTGTTGTCCAGGAAATTCAATTATCATATTACCCGTTTTTCTTTCGTAAATTGAAACTACATACATGTATGTATGTGTGTATGTATGTATGTATATGTGTTAATTGAATAGTCATATTCATGAGTGAATTGAAGTTAGACCACCATGGAATACCTGGAAGCACTGAATGACTATTTCATCCTACTATCTATCTATCTATCTATCTATCTATATATCTGATCAATGATGTATTGATTAGGAATTATGTTAATGATCCAATGATAAATTTCATTAAAATATTCTTTTTTTTAATGAGTAATTACTTTTAAATAGAATAAAAAGCGGTACAAAGTGAATTAATAATGTAAACATATAAGTCAATAATGTACCGTTCATCGATATAGATTTAAAACGATTACATACAATGTAATATCATGTTTACTATAAATGATAGTTCTATACAGATATTAATATATACATATTTACATATGTAATTTGTAAAAAAAAAGAAAAAAAGAAATTATTCCATTAATGTTTAGCTATGTTGTTACCTTCATACTTGATCTTCTTTCAGAAAGAGAAAGAGAGAGAGAAAGTGTATATGAGTATGTAAGAGTAATATATCTATTCTTTTCTTTCTAAAACATTTAGAATTACAAAGAGATTTCAATCATAAAAACAAAAAAATAAAACAGATAAGAATCAGTTGTGTAAATCATATCTAATACATAACTATGCTCTATTTTAACAATAGTGATTACAGCAGTAGATAGTGTAACTTACTTACTTACTTACTTACGCCTGTTACTCCTTGCGAAGGAGCATAGGCTGCTCACCAGCATCCAACCCTGTCCTAGGCAATCCTTTCAGATAAAGACAAACTAAATTCTAGTTCATATTATGCTTTTTCTTTACTTTCTATTTTATATTTAACTGTAAAATTACTCAAATGTTACAACATAATCTTTATATCTTTTATCAAATTTCTCTTTTTTTTCGTTGTACGTGTTATGTTTGACAATGAAATGAAATATAAATAAATGAATTGTTTCCCTGATGTATTTTGCGAATTCTTTCAAGTATAAATGAATGAATAACAAAATCTATTCACAGAAAGGGGTTTTGTGGAGATTATACTAATTGAATAGTTCAGTTCATGAGTCAATTAGAGCTAGATCACCATGAAAAACCTGGAAGAACTGTATGGCCGTTTCGCCCTAGCAGTGCATATCCAAGGTCCCACTCGAGGGATTCGATGGATGGTGGCGCAATTTCGTGAATTGCTTAATAATAGACATTAACATCGTCGGATGGCGGCGCAATGGTCTAGATTTTAAGCGCTCGTGCGCGAGACCGAAGGCCCCGGGTTCGAATCCCGTGGGCGAGATCGTAGGTGTGTACTGATGAGGAGTTCCATAATAGGATGAAATAGCCGTCCAGTGCTTCCAGGTTTTCTATGGTGGTCTAGCTTTAATTGACTCATGAACTCAACTATTCATAATCCATTCTGTTTTGATTTCACGATAAAAAATGTCACTTCATTAGAAAAGAGAGTGAAAGATTGGAACGGAAATGAAATATTTCTATGTACAACATATATATATATATATATATATATATATATATATATATATATATATTATACTGAAATTGATGACAATGAATTATCTGACTAATTCATTACTTTTGTGGTAAATGTTTTGTTCCATTTTGTTTATTAGAAAAAAAATTCTATTTTGTGTAAGAGATTTCGATTAACTCTTCTAGATTCTGTATTTGTTTATAATATTTGAATGGAATGGTACTGCTGATTGGTGATAACTAATGTTTTTCGTATATAAATCTTCCCAAATAATAATGATAAGAAATTTCGATAATGCAATGAGAAGTAGAAGGTTATCAGAATTACATATTGTGTTTACGCAATATATTTCGAACAATCTGGTCACATATACATTTACATGTTCAGTCATTTCTATATGAAAAATAAAAGGTCAACTGGAGAATTTAAAAAGTTAAAGAGAAACAAAGATAATCATAAAGTGCACAAAAGCAATGTGAAAACTATACTGGATAATAAATCAGTATTATCAGGGTAGGTGGAGATTAAGAACCATTGGTTTCTGAACATATAAAGGGGATTTAAGTTTTTGTATAGAGAAGGCTTCAATAAACCTTAGTATACGTCCTACATCCATAGAGAATCAAGGTTAGCATATAGCTAAACTAGTGGATATAACACACCGGTTTCATTTTCCTAGAGCAAAGCAGATAAGCATATTAATTTTTCAGCACTTCAAATCATTAAAGCAATATGGTATGATTGTGGTTAAAGCTGGTAAAACATCAGATATCATTATTAAAAATAAGTTCGATTACAAATGGGAATCATTCTCAGTGACAAAAGCACATTTACAACTGCTGTTGACACCAGATAACTATATACATTAGAAAGGAAAGTCAACTTGAATCAAATGAAATTGCTTAACATGAATGCTCGTAACAAATAGGAATTTAATTTATTAAAACCTATAAATTAAGTGTATCCTAATTTATATAGACTATCAAAAATTCATAAACCTAATAAGTCCTTACGTCCAATTCTATCAATGTGTCGATCAATTACACATTATCTTATAAAATGGTTGATGAAACTATTGAACCCTATTGAAAATCAATTGTATAAGTATTCTTTGAAAGACTCATTTGAATTAAGTAAATACTTTATGGATATTAATATAAAAACAAAGACAATGTACTCCTTTGATGTAAACACTTTGTCTACAAATGTACCTCTTAGAAAGACTATTGATATATTGTGTGACAATATGTCATTAAATAACGTTCCATTGCCATTTCCAGTAAAAGATTTATTGTTATCATTTACTAACATGAGAAATTCACTTTTGAATTTGAACATTTTCGACTGATTGATGGCATAGCTATGAATAATGCGTTACGACCATTGCTGGCCGACGTGTTTATGGGATATGTAGAAAGTCTAGCTGAAGTTTCATTTCAAGAGATGTCTGTATAAGCGGTGCATGGATGACATCGAAAACCCGATTGGCATGTAAGCACTTATGTCACATCCATTACATCTCTCACTTTACATATATGTGCGTAGCACATACATATGGAGGAGTAATCGTGAGCTTCAAGTAAAGGTAGCTGAAAAAATGCGTAATGGGCTACAAAAACAGATGAATTACAATGGTCAAATAAGATCACAGGAAAGATAAATATCTTACTCCATTGCGTACCATTTGATTGGAACCGGTCATAAGATTGATACCAAGTCAGTCTTTGTACTTTTGTACAAATTTTTTAAGGGAGTAAACTAAAGTGATCTGAATTGCTGAACAAACAGATGGTTATCATCGGTTTCATTCGTGAAAATAGTCACATCTTAGTGATCAACCAACTGTAAATATCTCAGTCTTAAATAGATCAGTGGAACCACGGAAAGCTCAATCTCACCGTTTCAAAGTATTCAGCTTGATGACATAAGTTCTTATTCCTATGATAAACATCAGCTTCACGAAGATTAAAAATTCACTCAACTAACATAAAACTAAGATCAAACAGAATTTCTAACCGACTTCATTCAATTATCCAACAGTACACATTACTCAATTCACATATGTATATACAGTCCAAAATGAAACTTTCCCTATCTTCTATCCAATTTAATCATTAAAAAAAAATAATAAAAATATTGATGTCCTATTTTGTCACTAATTAGATTTTAGTTTGTTTTTTTTTCTTTTTTTGGTTCCAAAAAAAGTTTTTTTTCAGCTTATTGATCGATATTTGTTTATTCTTTCTTTTTTCCACCAACCAAAATACAGCTGAATTATTTTTGTTGTTGCTATATGCTAAGATACTGCTTTTTTTTTGCTTTTTCAGTAAAATAATCGAAATCAAAGTAAATATACATAAATGTATTTGTTCAATTGTCAAATTATTATAATGAGATAAAGCATGATCGAGAGAGAGAGAGAGAGATATTGCCTGATATATTCTGTTAGTAGAAATAAATAATTAAAAAGAAACCCACTTTAGAATTAGTACTTTGAAACATTCTACAATAAGATGAAAAGGGGTGGGGGAAAGAATTTATTTAGAATAATATAATAGATATATTTTGTTTTCCGTAATGATAGTAACTAACATGGTTATTATGTATATTAATCTATTCAATTAGTATTATGATTGATCTTGTTTTTTTATATTCTTTTTGATAAAGAATAATCATTATGAGGTAAAAGGGTTAAGAGGTGGGATGAGTACACCGTTGGAGTAAATTAGATAGTTGTTTTTTCAATTTCTATTTTTTTTTCTATCGTATTAAACGAACTGTTCATGAGCACAAAAATGAACATAGATATGCTAGATAAGCATTCAAGAGGAAGTCAAATATTTGATGATCTAGCTTCAATTGACTCATGATTTCAACCTGTGAAATTTCTAAAACTCTCCACAAAACCCATTATGATATTTGGACTATATTTAAAATTCTTTCTTTCATACCTAAATTATATCTCTGTAAGAATGATGAATAAAGAATGAACATAATTTCATACCGTAAATGAATGGCTTATTAGGAACCTGCTTAACGTTTTGATTATTGCATAAGATGAAACTGTACTATCCAGGTTGTAAAGAGGCTAGGTGAGACCTAGTTTCTTTGAAAGGCGGCTATGTTAAGTTACTATGGTGTACAGTATATATAAATATGTAAAATCTTCAGTTTTGTCAGGCCAATAGTATTAATAATCCTCATAAATAAAACATGCTTGGAAGCCGAGAAATTAACCCTATACTCAGTATTTGAGTGACATTTAACTGAGTTACGTATGGTAGTAGAGTAGATGCAGTAATAATTGACTTCTTAGAACCTAATATTTATGTAATGAGAAATGTGAAAAAAAACCTTCATATGAATTGTATAAATATTCCTTGTTTAAGCAATCAGGAAGCTCATGTTTCACTTTACATCTTTTTGCCTACAAAATGCTTTGAAATGAGTGAATTTTCATTTGAAAACTGTTCGGTATATTGTAGTCAATTTATTTACATTATATTTAAATGTAAAGTGTTTTAATGTAAACAGTTTATAAAAAATAGCTCACAATTGTTCATGTATAAATTGAAGATACTACATATTTGAGAGATATCTCAGTAGTTGAGATCATGAATCAGTTAAAGCTAGACCACCATGTAAAACATGGAACCACTGCATGGCCGTTTTGTCCTATCGTGGGACGCCTCAGCAACGCCCATCCACGACCCCGCTTGCAGGATTTGAACTCAGAATCTATCAGTCTCGCATGCGAGTGCTTAACTACGGTCGTTCAGTGTTTCCGGATTTTCCATGGTTGTCTAGCTTCAATTAACCCATGATCTTAACTATTGAAATCACTATAATCTCCACAAAACTACTGCTGACAGATATCTGTTTGTTTGTCTGTCTGTCTGTCTGATATCAAATTTGTTTCCCCAGTGTTTGACAATGAATACTAGCACAGATATTCATAGGATTCGGATAAATAGTTTTCCAAGAAAGTAAACTATCTACACTTGGTTCCATTTTTATGTATTTACTTTTAATATGTCATATAAGCTAATAAAAGTTAATTTTTATTCATGAACATTCTAACTTTTACGTGGATCCTAGTGATGATTTAAACAATAATGGATATTGGAATGTAGTAACACATATGTACATAAATGTATAAAGCAGTGAATTTCTTACTTTCTTTAGTTACTTTTATTTATCTCACATAAATTTCAAGTGATAAATAGATGATTGAAAGAAACGAAAAAAAAAGTTGAAGAGAAACAAAAAAAGTAAAAGAAAACTATGTTAATGACTATGTAAAGTAATAAACACTTATGAAACAAGGTATTTTTATAATAAAAATATGAGTAATATGAACAATGGAACTTCCTGTTTGACTGTTTGTTTTCTTTATTGCCACTTATACATTCATTATTTATACATTTTAACACTTTTTTTTTCTCATTCATATCTCATATGAATCATTTAGATTAATAGATAAATAAAGAATGATAGTAATAAACAAAAGAAAAATCTATATTCATATTGATGAATGTATAATATAATACGGTATTACGAGAGGCCAAACCAAAACATGGCAAAAATTCATGAAGTCACTGACAAGTGGACTGAGTCATGTTAGCAGGTATAGACTACCTGGTTGAAATCCATGAGATGATAGTAACCGATGGTTAGAGACCTTGAATGAGATGGCTCAACATGGTTTGTAATGGTGTAGGTGTATCCACTCTTTGTGTTCTCCCAAATTCTAATCTTCTGAATTCTTGATATCCCTTTTTTTGTCTTTCTAAATTTATTTCACTGCATTATACTATTTAAATAACATCTCCAAACCCTAATCTTTCCGATTACTGTTTATACTTTTACTACCTTTACCACTATGGGATTTCAATTGGCAATTGTATCTGTGTATTAGTGTGCTATGACAACTCCATATGTTATACGTATGTACGAAGTTCTCCGTTGTTGATGACTGAATATATATCTATTCTGTCATCTTATTTTCAGAATTCATTATCACCTTCTTTTTCGCTAATTTTCTATTCACAGTAAAGAGAATTTTCTTTCTAAATTTCTATTTTTATACATCTTAACTAATTGATTTCAACTGTATTTTATAATCTCATTTTTTTATAATTTAATGATTTTTGAAATTATAATAGGCGGATCAGATTTCATTGAAAGATCCCTGTGCTTCCTTTTTTTCTTTCATTTTAAATGATTTCAATTATTACATTAAAAGTATTGGTTGGTTTGCTTTTTAATCTAGACTCGTTGAAAATATTTCCTCAAAAGAAATATAGTATATACAAATGACTGATATATGGGTATTGACTAATGTGTTGTTTCACAGATTGAAATCATGGCTCACCATAGAAAGCCTGGAAGCACTGAACGGCCGTTTCGTCCTAGTATGGGACTCTTCATCAGTGCGCATCCTGCACCCCACGAGATTCGAACCCAGGACATATCAGTCTTGTTGTTTGTTTAGTTTATTTTAGTTTTGATTGAACTACATAGATCAAGTTGAAATTTGGTTATTGACTTAAGTAACTTATCATCATGTATCCTGTATTGAGATATCAAATGGATTTAGATAGTCAGGAAGAAATCTTGAACCTAGGTTTTGTGCAAGTTAGTACTGATCAGGAAGTGATCCAAAGCAATCTAGTAAGATATAGTGTTCGTTGTCAACTCGAACCTTAGCCATCTAGGACATGGTATATATATATATGTATATATAACGTAAAACTTATGGAAAACTGAAACGTTTTCTTTATTAATAGTGATAACTAATTACCCAAGAGGATAGCACAAGGACACAAAGTAAATGGCTTTCTATTCTCATTCTCATATCCAATTAGTTTAGGTGGAAAAGTTAACTTTTGATTAAAAAAATTATTTTATCCATCATAAGAGTTCATATGGGTGAAAGTTATTATGATGAAAAATGTTTACAGCTACTTTGGGAATGGATTACAAAACGAAAAAAAACACTGACAATCTTTTGAATTTCAATCCATTAGTCTAATGAGAACACATTTACCACTAGATATAATGGTTTAAGTTTTAAGTTATAACTACACCACAGCTGTGTACTATTAAGAAATTCAATATCATGAATGAATAATTGTCTAACACTCTATAACTGTAACTACTTGACAACTGACATTAACGTATTACGTAAGAACTAACCTCAAGTTTATTAAATTTAAAAGTAATTCTAATTTATCTGTATATATCATAGATAAGTTTACATTTATTTTAACTTACTCTCAATAGATTCATACTCCTTTACACACTTCGATGGAGTTTTGTTCTCTGAGCTGAATGGACCAAACCATTCAGCTCAGAGAACAAACCTTCATCAAAATGATCCATCTGAGCTACAAATCTTCACCACTTCTTTACACAATCATAATTCATCCTAACGGGTTGTATGATTTATAAATTTAAAATGAGCAACAACATCAAAAACATACACTAAGTTTCAT